ATTTAGTCACGTAGAGGAGAACTGCGAAAACTACTCTTGAAAAATAGGAATTAGAACCACAATTAGGAAAACTGTCTGCAACAGCCTTATTGGAAGGGAACATTTAAGATCGAAATTTCAAGAAATCCAACTAAGACGTCCCATATTGGACTCACGAATGTCTATGATCAAGAATACTCCTGATCATAGTTGAGGTCATCAGCTAACGAATTTCAAGGATGGGATTAAAGATGAGATATACAAACCTACTACTAGCCAAACTTCCCCTGGACCTATTGGAGTGGCAATGAAATCCCCCACAAAAGACAAGAACAACAAACCCCAGGCAGAAAGCATTAATAACTTGTCAGTAAAAGCCACGTCTAGGATGCTACGGGTTAAAAGGAACCTGCGAGACATAGTGATAGAGAGGTGGCAGCGATATCTGAATGTGGATAGACAACTGCTATCCAATGGTTTTCGAAAAATAAGGGCAAGCCGGCCAAAATCACATCCCTCCAATGGCATATTGCCCACCGATGCCTCTCCACAAATAACTGGAGAATAGATCACACCCAGTTGGAACAACAAGAATCTCCAAGGCTTCCCATCCCAAAAGAGAATAGAAACAATAGAGCATGTTTTTTGCACTGTCCGACGGCGGTCCTTACATGGAGATGGTGGGAGAGGGTGTGGGAGGCAGATAGTTCCTGACCAGCCATCCCCATGGGATTGGAGAGTGATCCTGTTGGGCCATTACCCCGCCCTGCACAACACAAATTATGTAAGGAATATGTTCGCCCTGGCCAGAAGGACGGTGTTGTGGGTCCTATGGTGGCAGCGCTGTGCAATGGCTATGGAAGGAGTCAGAGTTGAAGGGGAGGAAAGGAAGGAGCAGTTCAAGAACCACTTCCAACTCGAGATTGTGCAGAAATGGCAGGAAACGAGGCAGGTATTGGACTCCTTTCATAGACTAAAGGACATATCAGAGAGAATCACCAATTTTGCAAATGAATGGTTGGGCGGATCAAGGGGAGGGTGGGTGGCCAGAGTACAGTGGTCGGGTGACAACGAGGGAGATGGGCAGAGACAAGAAGAGGACCTGCAGGCATCAGTCCCACGAGATCACCACCTCGTTTTCAAGCATTGGACAACAATAGATCCCATCATTCCTACGCGGGGCCCTGAGTATTTTCCAGACCCCTTCCCTCCCCATCCCTTGGCATTGGTGGTCAGGCTCTGAAAATCTGGGACTGTGGACGGTAGAGGGTATTGAGCTGAAAGAGGTGCAACAAGCCAGTTGTATGAGAGGAGAGGAGATTGGGGAAAGAAGGGACCTGCTGGTGCCCCCCAGCGGCCCTTGACTGGCCCCTGCCCCTTGACCCTCATTGGAAAGAAGGCAGACAAGAAGGCGCAAGGTTACACGGAGCCTATTGGTTGTTGGCTTAGACAGGGCACTGTGTAAAACGGGGAAGTGGTATAGTGGCTGATATGCAGATCTCTTTTCTTTTTTTTTTTCTTTTTTTTTTTCTTGGGACAAAAGCTCCAATCTATTGGTGGGGAGCATCTCAACTTTCTTCTCAATTGTTTTTTCTCAGTTTTCTCATTTTTCCTTCTCAGCATAGACATTCTTAAGACATTCTTTTTTTTTTTTTTTTTTTTTAAAGGGCGGCAGTCTTGAGATATATCCACAGGAGCATGGTCCCATTAGCCGTGGGATAGGAGTTTGGCCGATCCAGTGTGACACTGAGTGGCAGAGAGCTGACAGGTTCATTACGAATTTCTGGGCTGAGAAAACAGGACAAAGGCAAAAAAAAAACAAAAAAAAACAGAGACCTGCCACCGGAAATCACGGCAGAGTGCTTCCCAGCCATCAGATCACAGATGATCTGATGGTGGTGGTTGCGACAACAGTGAACAAAGTAACTGCGGCTTATTTTCTGGAATAAACTCGACTTCTGTCAGCAGTGATCCTGACACCCTCCATATACTCCCTGATTGAAGGAGGGCTCCACCCAATGAGATAATTGCACAACAGCAAGTAAAATACTGAAATTCTTCTATCCAGTGGGCTAAGGCCCACCCCAACCTCCTTTGGGGTTGGCCACACCCCCAACCCATTGAAAAGATTCTGGCGGGAAGCTGTCTTTGCACTATCTTCTTACTTTTTCGGGTAATACGTGTAAAATACTGACCGTGGGACCATGAGTACCACACGGCAGGATTTGGGTCACTCAACTGTCCCACAAACTCGTTTCTATCCTATCGTTGCTAGTGGGACCATGCTCCAGGTGACCGGCCCTGGGTAATTCGAGCTTGTTATGGAAGTTATTATTGTAGATTATATGTCTTAATTTTGTACACATTCCATATTTTTCATGTATATAAGGGACGCTGGACCCGGTTTCCAGCAGGTGATGCTCCCCACCAATAGATGGAGCGGCCCCTTAGAGGGGGGGGGGGGGGGGGGAACAAAAAAAAACAATGACATCTAGAGGGACGCTGTACCCGATTTCCAGCAGGTGCAGCTCCCCACCAATAGATGCAGCCTTCACCACCAGGAACTGCTTAGAGGGGATGCTCGCAATTGTTTACTTTGTATGGGACACTGAGCCTGCTTCCCAGCTGTGCTGCTCCCATGCATAGATCGGAACAAACGAAGGGGAAAAAAAAAACACCCTTGGGCACTGGGCCTATTTTCTCTTTTGTTTCATTTTTTCTAATGGCAAGGTTGTTTCCGTCTTTTTTCTGCAATTCTGGACCATTTCTGACGTACCTTGCAGTGGATCTACCTTTTTTCTCCCCTTTTTTTCTTTCTTGACCAATCCTTTCGGGCCTTTTTTGTTTCTCTTTTTTGACTTTGAGTCAGGGGGGTTCCGGTTAAGAAGATTTGTCTCCTTGTATGGCAGTCTTGGTATTCAGGTTTTGTGGAGGGCCCTCAAGATATTATGCCCACGAGACCGGCAAAGGCAGCTCCCGCAGATGATGGTCAGGCAACATCAACAATGGCTGGAGATGGTGCTATCAACAAAGAAGGACCTGGTGCAAAACAAACTCCACCTGGTGCAAAACAAACTCCGCCGGGCTCAAAGAAACAAACCCCACCTGGTGCAAAACAAACCCGCTCGGGCGCTGATAACAAAGGTGAACAAGCTTCAAAGAAACCAGAAAAGGTTAGTCAACCGCTGAAGTCGGGACTTTCAACTACCCAGAAGCTGAGGAAGACTTCGCCGCCCGCAGCCTTGGAGGTGGCTAGGCCAGATGCAGCCTCAGAGTCGTCCGGAACGCAGAATTCCCAGCTGCCTTTTACAGTTCAGGGTGCTGTGTTGCAGGCGTGGGTATTACCAACCCCTGTTGTAGCCAGCACAATCTCTGCTGACGGCGCTTTCCTTGCGGTGGGACTGGAAGACGGGAACGTGATGGTGCTGAACACACACTTAGGTAAGACTCGGAGGAGGTTAACTTCGCTATTTATCCTTCACCTAGTATTGAACTGATGGTTCTCTCTCATTCTTGTTGGCAGTGAATCCTTCAAAAACGACTGTGAATTCCCCACCCGCCTCCTCTCAAACATGTGACCTTCAAAGGAAAAAAGCAAAAAACCTCTCTAGTAGCTGGATCTATGAATTGTGCTCATTCTTTTAAACCACCAGTACTTGGGCGACGCCTTAGCGTACAGTTAGTTACTATGTCTTGGCTTAATCCCATTTACTTTGCTCCCTACTGCTGTTGCCTGCCCTCCAGCCTATGTCACTTGCTGCCTTCCCTTAGCGTTGCTGCAGTATCCAGTCCTCTCTCTCTCTCTCTCTCTCTCTCTCTCTCTCTCTCTCTCTCCTGTCTCTTATACACATCTAGATGTGTATAAGAGACAGACACTACGTAGACCCAAATGTGAGCAACACATGTCACTGCTTACCAGCCACGGCTTCGTGNCTCTCTCTCTCTCTCTCTCTCTCTCTCTCTCTCTCTCTCTCTCTCTCTCTCTCTCTCTCTCTCTCTCTCTCTCTCTCTCTCTCTCTCTAAAGAGATAGCATTGAGAAACACAAGCGGGGTTGGGGGGGGGGAGGAGAGCGGTGGTAGAGACATGGGGAATAGTCGGGAGAGGAGAGAAGGGCAGTGGAGGTGAGAAATGAGCTGATGATGAACTCAGAGTGAATGGACATAGTGTACTGAGAATTAAGAGCAATGCATGTAGTGGTGTTTGATACACAATTAGCAGACATTGGATTGTCGCTGAACGAACAACAAAAATGGTTCTGTGCTTTCTTTTTCCTTATTTTGACGCTTCGGACCTGGGCCGGTAGTGACTGTGGAAGGCCACTATGAAAAGAAAAAGTTGGAGGCTTGCGAGTGTTGGAAGGTATAAAGTTTTTGAAATATTCCACATTCAATCTAAGAAGCAATATTGGTGCCAATACCAGCAAATACAGCTCCAAACAATGTTCTACCACCATCATGATGCCATATACGTGACCAAAAGGGAAATGTGTGTGTGTGTGTGTGTGTGTGTGTGTGTGTGTGTGTGTGTGATGTGTGTGTGTAAACAGGGCCACCCCGTATATACGGGAAACAAGATCATCACGTCTGTCATATCACGACAAGTTAGCAGCAGTTTAAACATAGTGGGTGTTTTAGCCATCAACTCATCTGCAAGGATGCAAGAGGGTTTGCCATTAAGGTTATGGGGGAGCATTTTAGTGATTACGGTTAGTGATGGCCGTTGAGGACAGCCATAGGGGGGGTGCACGCCCTTAAGCGCGCTTTTCGCTGCCTAGCACCCATAGCAGCTCATTAGAGGGATTAGTTTAGTATAGGCTCCTGTTAGCAAGTAGGGGGGGGGGGAATTAGAGAGGGTCGTCAGAGGTTGTAGGGCATTACATCATTGGGATTGATGGGGGAGGGGTTTAGAATTCCATACCTGAGTGGTCATGGCCGGTGTCGCTGGAAGATCAGTCGCCACCATAGCACGAAGTGTGGTCGTGCAGCGTAGTGTTAGGTGGCTTACAGTGTAAGCATTGCACGAAGCGCACTCTTGTATGCCACACCGGAGCTAGGTACAGGATCAGCACGCGAGCGAGTGTGCTCGTGAGAGGAGAGAGTAGGGGAGTAGTGGTAGGAGGTGAGGGAGACAGTATCAGCGCATGATGGCACGAATGCGATTTTGTGTGTGGTTACTCGCAGCTGTAACGGCGGGCATTTTTGAAGAGGAGGAACACGGTGAGCAGGCCAGGAGTATATGCCATGGTATATCATATTACATGCTAGTTGTATTGGGGGGCCATAGCTGGAGTAGGTTGGGGGTGGGGGTGATGGCTCCATCTTGGGGAGAAAAAAAGTCGTGTCTTCTTCTCACCCATTTTTTGTGGGTGGGGTAGGGGGGGTAAGAAGGAAGTAAAGTTGTTTGGAGGGTGAAGTCGGGTGTGGTTCTTCTTCTCACGTTTGCAGAGTTCATGTTTGTCTCGTGGTGGAGGTAGAGTTCACGTGTTTGCAGTATTAGCGATGTCCGGGTTACCGTGTTTGTGTTTGTTTCGTCCTGTGTCAGTTCGTGTATTGGTATGGTTTTTTTCGTCGTATTCGGTGACGGATAGGCTATCGAGGGGGCGGGGAGTGTCGGGTCTTTTCTGTCGTGTTCGCGTGACGGTTTCGTTTTTTTGTGTCGTTTCGGAGCGGTGCTTTTTGTTGTTGTCGTTTTGCGTTTCGGCTGTGGACTAAACAATGATTTTAAGGTGGACACGTTTGTGTTTTTTTTTGTGTGAAAGTGTTTTGTTTATTCCCTCTTTTTGAATCCGAAACGTGTGTTCTCTCTGTGAACCGTGGGATCGTCCCATAATCGTTAAGGGAGGTGTTGCTATTGTGATATATAGGTGTGGGGTTTTATTGTTGGTATTGTAAAGGTCTAGGGTATGGTGTTGAATTTTTGGTGTGGGGATTTATGCTGTAGTGGGTTATAAGGGGGTGTGGTGGGGCGGATACTTTCTACTATGATTATTTAAAGAGTTTGTACTCATAGTTTATTATTACTTTTTCTATCATTTATTGAATACAAATTAGAAATATACATATTTTCTTACCTTTATTTATTTTTAATTAATTTTTAATTATTTTATTATTATTAATATTAGTTTTTATCATTTTAGCAGTTATCTTATTATGCTTATATTATCAATCTTAAATCTTTTAATTTTAGTTATTCCTTATTTTTCTAGGCTACCAGATTGGCCCGGGCCCACTTGCCCGGCCGGGCCAAAAAAAATAAAAAAATCAAAAAAATAAAATTACTTTTCAACTTTATTTTTTATTTTAAATATGGTAAAGAATTTCGATGTGACCCTGAGGCAAAAGTTGTTCAGTTTATTTTTCTGCGTAACATAGTTTTTTTTGGGATTTTTTTTTTTTTTTTTTTTGCTAGGACCTTCCCTGATCCTTGCACGGTCGGACCGTCCGGGAAAATAGGGTGACCCGGGCGGCCCGGCTGATAGCCTAGTTATTTTATGATTTTTGTATTATTATTTTTTAAAAATATTTATTTATTATTTCTTTTTAACTATATATGTCTACATATTTGAGAGACATAATAATGAGAAGACTTAAAACGTGTGTGTGTGTGTGTGCGCGTGTGCCGGGGGGAGGGGAGGGAGGACCCCTCCCCAACCAATCAATCAATCAATCAATCAATCAGTATTTTTTTTTTTTTCT